TTTTTTTTTTTTTCAAGAAAATTAACATATATATACTTGAGTGCACCGGTAGTAACAAGCTATTACTTTATTTATCGCTCAGTTGCTCAAATTTATGATTCATGAAAATGGGAACGATTTAAAATTCCATTTCAATGGAATAGCTTGTTTTAATAACAGGAAAAGGTGAGGCTGTAAAAGATGAATATTATCAGTTGAACGAGAGATGAATTATTACAAAACCGTGCCCCGAATAAATTCGCTTTTCCATTTAGAATTGACTATCCTTACATAGTAGTAGCTAGCCGTATTTGTATGAAACGGAGGTACGTGTCTATGGACATAGTGATTCGAAGATAATGATCCGAATGATCGACGATCGATAGCCCTCTTCCGCTACGAAGAGTTTGCAAACAATTGTTAATTCTATTCGCCAATATCTGTTTCGTCATATCGTAACGTGAACGTAATAATATATTAGAATTAATATTTTGATCGATCCTCTCAAAATGTATTTCTTTTTTCGATTTTTATCTATTATATCTATTATTTATTATGCTAAGTGAAAATGAATAAATTTTGAAAATATTTCTCTTAAAATGTAAAATTGCTGAAAATTTTGTAACTCATGAAATGCAATAATACATTAAAATGAAAAGGAAATACAAGACTCGTGACTTGTAGAAACTTAACTCATACTTTCTGAGATATGGACAATCATATATATAATCTTTATTATGTATTGAGTCATAAAACATTGACAAGGAAATTATCTTGAGAGATGTTTGAAGCTATCTCCAAAATCATATAAGTATAAAGAATTACTTTCGCTTCACTATTATCCGATTCTCTTTTTTTTTTCTTTTTCTTTTACAAATTTAATTATTCTTGCAAATTGCTCTGCGGGTTTTTCTTCTAGCTTTCAACGAAGAACCTTTTAACCGAGAACAGGATTTAGTTTCGAGGACCAGTGAAAGCCATGACTTTCTTCGAAACTACAAGAAGTATAGAATGATACGCACGTGTGCGTTCTCGTGCATGCGGAGAAATGGTCGTACGCACCGCAAAATGACTGTGGGACTTTTTTAGAAACTAGCTGGTGCCGGAGTAGCGCGGTCAATGAATTAGAAAGCACAACCTGCTGATATTTCCTCACGGTGTTATCTTTTTCAGAAGAAAACATCTAAAATGCTTCTTTCTATATAATATGATATTATAATAAGCTACTGGAACAAATTTATTCAAAACGATGAAAATATTTGTTGTGAAATTCAATAATCCGCCGATTAAAAATTTCAACGAAAAAATATAAAAATACCATTTTTTACCTTTTATCGATGTTAAACTATGCTGTTTCCCTGGGACAGTAGTTGGTAATCTTCTCGTTATTGTCGTTTTTCGCGTCGCTGACGGGCTCTTCTCTGGAAATAAAATTCGCAACGTTAACGAGAGCATGTTACATACTCACCGGTAGTGCCTTAAATGATGTGTTATCGAGTTTGCAAGTACCGTACGCTGCAAACCGTTTTACTGCCCGCATCAAAGAGAGCATGTGTAGAAGCAAAGGAAACGCCTTCACTTGTAAAAATAGTATCTAGAAAAAAATGATATTTACTGTAGTAGACCAGATAAACCATGATTATTCCAATCTTCTGCCCGTATATAATATATTTTTTTTTTTATTAGCTATTATTTTGTTCGTAATCGCATTTACGAATATTGCTACAATAATGAGGATCACAATGCTTTAATATAACGAATGATTCACAAATCACGTTATATTTCACTGAATATTTCAATGGCGACACGAAACGAGACCGATCGAACAAATTGCGTGACAATTTTCTGCACAAGTTTTCTCGTTTGAAGTTAACGAAAGACTGTCGGAACATCAACAGTGTTCGGGGGTTAAATAATCACATTGCCGACTACGGTAAGGGGTGCATACCGTTAGAATTCTGACCTGACTCAGGCAAAGCGTTAGTCTAACACCCACGGTTAATTATTGCTAGACCCGTACAATATTACAATAGAACTTTAAAAAATTTAAATAACTAAATGTAGAATAACTGTCATCAATGTTTATCGGTCGTTCATTTTGAAAAAAAAAAAAAGTACTAACGAATAAATAAATATACGTATATACTGTTTTTGATTTATAAAATACATTAAAATTATATAGGAAGATCTAAAAATTTGATATAAAGCATCATAGAAACATGAACGATCGTTAGATAAAACTACAATATCGTTGATCGGTCGAATCAAGCGTGGCCGTTTGCCAATATTTTCAATGTTATGTCTCGATGAGATATAAATTTATCCCGATGGCTGGCTATCAATATCAGAATGTCGAACATGTTTACATTTTCGCTTATCAATATAAACGAGTAGAGAATGTTG